GTGCATTTTAATCCGACCTCACAACAAAACTAAAATGAACGAACTGCGCGCGCGCATGAATCTACGAACATGTGTCGGCACAATACTCTCGTAAATGATAACTAAAATAAAACCGCCTCCCAAGGAGGTAAGCGAACTATCAAAACAAATTTAAACGTGTAATTAAAGACGTCGACGAACTAAGCTATAAAAGTTTGACGGGATTAAAAGCATTTTATTAATTTTATGCTAGTACATATATCCATTCTATTCTTGTATTAATATATTTGAATTGTTAATGCTAAAATAGTTGTAGCATTTAAAGTTCGAATCGAAAGCAATTATACAATTTTGGTATGTGTAGCATAAACCAGTAATGCACTTAAATAATCAAATTCAGAAGTGATTTGCTTTCAGGTTACAGGTTTCAGATTCCTGTCAGATTTGATTCAATGTTTTGAAAGTTTTTTTGATTGGGGGGGGCGATAAATGTCGTCTCATTTAATTAAAATTAATTTTATTTATTAATAATCCAATTAAGAAAATATAAGATAATTTACGTCTCGTAAATAAAAGGTTTATGGCACACCATCCCTCCGATATACAAATAGATGCCCACAGCTAGAAAGGCGACCCAATAAGTAAATAGATTATTATGAAACTCCGAATGAATGATCCGGCGAGAGCGTCTAAGGAATTTGTAAACAAATTTTGCTTGATACAATAAATTGCATTTACGTCCCGCACGCTTTCGTAATTCACTTTTATCCGTATATTTTAACATTGATTTATATGCGTTTAATTTAACCTATAAGTATATATTAAATCTTATGACAAACGTCTACCTATCGACCTATTTTGGCTTCGATATTCGGAAATCTACTATAACCGAATCGCGACAAATCATAAATAAAACACTTAAACGGTTTAAAACGCCATATTTATTAGTAAAACTTATTTGTAAATTATTTTAACTGCGTCTCGACGTTTCGGAATCTTTGCAGCATCTGTGCTGTACACGGGGAGACATATTCCTATTACCAATTTAATATCCAGATTTTTGCAGACAAAAGCCAAGATAATTTTACAAAAATTATAAATTGATTACAAACATGTACTGCCTGATAACTCGTATTTTATTAGATATTGCTACCATTAGACTAACATTATTATTATATTTTATTGAAGTTTAGCTAAACTAAGTTTAATGGACAACTTATTACAAACAATGTTAGTCAAGGAAATTGACAAACGCGCCAAGCAATCTCATCTATGTTTTTCCATATATAGTATTGTAATGTTGGATTTAACGATTCAAAGAGCATGCATGTCTAATTGTAGGAGATAGACCTTAATCGACGACGCTATTCAAGCGAAACAATACGGCAGTCACGACATACAACTTTTTGTCGTAATTTGTTTCCATACACGTGAACTTCGTACAAATGTCGTCGCGACCTTTACTATCAAAGGCAACAATGATTCATGACTTCTCGTCTATTCTCACAACTATAAATTGCGTAAGAGTGTCTATTTTTACCCGACGATGAAAAGGAAAGTAATGATTTAATGCACAATGTTTACATATTCTTCCAGCATTTCATTATACCTTTATAAAACGTCAATTTAAATAAAAATTGAATCAATTTCAATAAGCTAGTCTCCCCGTGACCACGGCTGCTGCAAAGCATCCGAAACGTCGGGCCGAAGTTAAAAATCAGTTTCAAATAAATTTAACTAATACATCGCGTTTTAAACCGTTAAAGTGTTTTATTTAAATGTGTACTACTCGCGTAAGCTATAGACAGTATTTAAGCTAAGACGATTTATCTATAAATGATAACTTAATAGATTAATAAGAATTATCCAACCCTTGGCGTCTAGAAGGAGGTATTGTATATTCCTACATTACAATTTTTTACATATTATTTTAAATTATAACACGTAGTATGTAAATTTGTGTAATTAATAATTATGTATAAAATAAACAAACAAAACCGAACGAATAACAAAAATTAACAGACTTAACAGTAAACTAAGAAAAAAATAATTGCACAAAGTGATACGTATTGTGATGTAGTTAAGTAGAAATGTTTTAATAATTTATAATATGTATGTTTTATACAATAAAGAATATATAAATAAATAAATCAATAATAATTATGAAGTCGCATTAGTCGACCCAGCGTTTATTAAAAGTTCCCAGTAAAAAAAAACATCAATATAATGGAAATTGATAAACGGCTAGGTAATGTAAAAATCATATAAAAACATATTTCAATCGAATTTAGAACCTCCTTTTTTGAAGCCGATTAAAAACATTATGTAATAAGAAATAGTAAGAACAACATACCTGTGCGAATAGATATATTTATACCATTACACGATATGAATGAGAGGCAGGAAAAGACGCGCGGATGGAAAATTTCTCGGAGAAGGTAAGATATATAGATATACGCGAGGGAAATCAACAGAACGAGAAGTGATAAGAATTTTAACGATTCTTTTTTTTATTAACAACACTTGTGTTAATGGTACAAAGCAATTGAATTGTTTAATTGATTACTTAAATGTTTGTTTGCAAAATCGTTATATAAAATAAACTACATTTTATATTTTATTTATATTAAACACTTAAATATCGTCGACACATTTTAGGAATGTATTTAATTTGCCGTCTGAATGATTTCAATCTTTAAAATAGGATTCTGTAGTGCAGCAAACCCAGAATTGTCTAACCATGCATCACATAACCAGACGTGATTTGAGGCTGCTAGAGGCAAGAGTGGCCTATTAACAAAAAATATGATTCTTCGAAAATTAATTTGTACTATTAATAGTGCAAAATTTATGTTAACAATTTTCGGTCAATGTGCTCTTGTAGATTAATATTTTTAGACAATGAAATATAAATAACTCAAAAAAATGCAGTTAAGCCCGTTTTAACACACTTTACCACAATGATATTTTTATTTCTTAGATTCTTTCTATTTGTACAGAAACATTCATCTAACTAACAGTAAATTACCAACTAAAACTCACTTCATCTTTCACATCAACATAAAAGTTAAGTAAAATGAACACGATACACAATATAGGTCAGGACCGTCACCTTTCAACCTTGTATAACGCAGAAGACCTTGAAGGCTTGCATTTCCCGAGAGTCCAACAAGGATTATGCGACCTCCGCTTTTATTATTGCAATATGCACTTTCATCTAAAATGAAATTAGATTAGATAGTGCCTTAACTTGGTCTAAATTAAATCCAAAAAGTTTTTGCGGATCGTGCAAGAATGGTGTAATTTTAATATACAGTGTCTTTGTATGTCTGTTGCATGGATATTGACAAAATTGACGCGTGAATATTAACGAAATTGTAATTAGAATATTCATAAACTCATCTTTTTATAAACCTAACACAAACGAGCAAGTTTAAACCCGTTTTATCCTATACGTACAATAACCTAATTGTTGATACAGACTTAACCACGAAATAACAACAGGTAATCTAAGGCTTAGGTCGTAAATAGTAAGGGTAGTAATAATTTTAAATCTATACTTAATAGCAAAGGAAAATTATTAATGTTAAAGTTTGATATGTCTAGCGTTTAAGCCGAAAAATTGATTAATCTAAGCTTTTTTACAGTGACTTTTTGCCGAAAACACTAAATATAACTATATAAAAAATTAACAGCCCATAAGCTTATATATAAATATGCCAAGTTTTCATTAAGAAGTTTCAAGTGTATATTAGCTCAATAGTGGCACACGAAGTCTGCGTTGATTAGTAAAAAGTCTAGAACCAGTGTTTACTTATTCATAGAGCTTTTAGCTTAAGAACTCAGTAGGGATCATATATCTTTGAATAACATAACGAGTGCAAAGAAAATATGCAAATCGAAAACAACTTGCAACCACATTTTTAATTAAATAAACTATTACATGTTAATAATTGACAAATACAGTTCATATAAGAGATATTTTAGAAAAAATACCAAAACACAGGCCAACTACGCGCTGTGTCTCTAAGAACTGTGATTGACACAGAAGCTTCAATGTTTATTAAATACTATTTAAGTATTCCTGTTTCTTCTTCCAATTTAAACCTCATATATAAGATTCTTAGATAAATACGAAAATTCGAACCTGCTAAATATTCATACTTTCAAATGCTCAGTCAAAAAGGTCTTAAGTGAACCTCTTGCTTGTCTGTCCTCTTCTATGATAAAAATAAAATTAAAAAGAAGGGGAAAAAGACGACGATTATATTCCTATTGTATTGAACGTTTCAAAAAGTAGTCAAATTGCAGACGAGCAATTAAAATAACTAATGTACTTTATATTATGCACGCCGTTTCAACTCAATCACAACCGATTAATTAGTGCCAATCTAACGTAACGTTAAACACGCGTTAACCAATTTTCTATTCAATTTTGTATGACACGAAACTGTGATTTATAGATCAATTACTGAGTAAACAACTTTGATGAGACACCTTTGATTACTGAGTAGAGTGATCGACAAACCGTTAACGAATTGTTAGTAAACAAAGCTTCGTATGTATATCGATTTACAGAAACCTTCAATTACATATGTGAAATAATAAAAGTACCTACGTAATTTCATAAATAATAATCTTATATATTAATTGTAAATATTCATAATAGTTTTCGATTTGACTAACGCGAATTTCTTCTCCTTAATAGGTTTATTGAAATATATACTTATGGAATATATTGTGTACAAATCTCTTTTCAAAATACAGGATAACTAATTTATAAGAAAATGACAAAGTTATTAAAAAAAAAATAAACAAATTATTTTTTTCAAGGGTAGTCTCAATAATATTATGGCGTAGATCCTCCTTGTCAATGAAACGAACGAATTCGTTAAGCAAGCCTGCGCTTCTTGGCAGCAATAATAGATATATTCTTCCAGAAACTGGAGTCTGGAGTTCTAACCATCACTAAACTTTAAGTTTTTATCCTGGATCCTAAATTATTAATGTATCAAACTCACCATCTCCATTCGCGACAAGGGGCGAATCCTGCGCACGTTTCGGCGTGCTCGTAACTCGAGGCAGTTGTGCACGGCGACACGGAGGCGTGCATTCCGGTGCCTTTACTCGCTGAAAACCAAAAACATACTTTATCACTTAATTTATTACAGTTCCACCACTCTTTCGAGCTATAATGTCGTAACAGTACTTTACTTTAGTTTGTTATATCTAGGATTTAATAGGATCTAGACAGTGTCTTCCGATTATAGGTCTGTACTTATGAAAACAAGAACTCCAAATGGTGTATTATTTTTGCTTAACTTCAAAATTAATTTGTTTCTTGAACCATATCTATATGCAGGTAGTAATAATTTCTACACGATATTTAATTTGTGTCATCGTCATTAATAATACTTTAGAATATAGACTATATTCTATAATATAAGTAATAGCATAGTATATTTTCTATATAAGATTCAACAAAACATCAACTTATTTTAAATGTTGTATAAGTACATACATATTTGTATTTGTTAAAACGCGATAGTTATATATCGTAATAAATATTATTTCTGTAAAATTGATTAAAAAAAAAGCTTTACTTATATTAAAAATAAATTTGAGTATGAAAAATCCGCAAAACGTCTGTCTACAGAGTGCCGTGATGTTAGTCTTACTCACTAAGATACGTCGTTAGTTTGATTTCCGCCAGCATCACCATTTTTTTAACCAACCTTATCTTTTTATATTATAATTATTTTTTAATAAATTATTATCACTTCAATAACTCACCGACTTGACGTTACACTCTTTGAAGTAAATTCGCATTGTGCTCGGAAAAACTCATGAAATTTATGATTGACATAAATATCAAGAGATCACTTTATCCTTTACGATCTACCTACATCAAAAGGGGATAGAACTAATAAAAATATTCGACGGTTCCCTTGAATTATTCAAACAAATAACAATTGGTATACGGAATATATAAGGAAAGTTCCATAGACGAATGTCACTTGGGATTATTATTTAAAAAAATAAACTGCGAATCTATGCTAACGAATGCTATAAAAACGAGAAGCCATAGGCTCAGAGAAAAACGAGACAAACATATGTTGGCATATGTTTTATGTAAAAGACACAATAAACATGATTTTGGTGCATTATACGCAACAAATAAAGACCAAATGATAAATATTTTTTTTTATGAGTTACAAGTCCCTAAACGCGAGAGGGCTAACATCAGTTACGTTTGAATACTTATTCAAACAGATACTGAGATATAAATTAGAAATAAATGCCGAGAGAATACGCTGAGAGCCAAACTTTTCAGACAGTGAGTCAACAAAACTTCCAGCGAGGTCTTATAGTGACAGACAGCGCGAAATATCAAATATTTAAGACTATACTTTGCTTAAACAAAGAAATTGCTGACGTACACGTCGTCTAGCTTATCAAGATGAATTTTCTAGTTATTTGATATTGAAAACACTTATAACATTAAAAACAACAAATAATTTTTTAGTAGGTACTTGACGTGTAGTTAAAATGTATTCAAGTAATTTCGCCTCTGTTTTGTTACATTTAATTGCGCCACTCGCAAAAATTTACAGAATGTAAAATAAATGAAACGTTGTGAAGATGGCACCTATATGTATGTCATTTTTTTAAATTACTACATCGTAACTACTAAACCAAAAAAAATTACGACTCGGGCAGGACTTGAACCGGCATCGTCAGCGCTCCGTGCTGTTACTCTAACGAATTGAGTTACTGAGTCCTACACGTCATCATTGATTTTTTTCAAACTTAACTTAACTATTAATACATGAACTCTCGCGCAATGTAGTTTCAATCTTAACACTTGCGCATAATAATGTGTACAAACACTGTAATCAATATTACGAAAATGCGCAAAAAAAACAATTAACAAGGCCTTGAGAGAATGCTGGTTTAGAATCTCTTAAAAAAAACGAAATCTTACTAAATACATCAATTAGTGAAACGGACATATAAATGTGTCTACACCATGATGACCAAGAAAAACGGGATTCACTTTTAATCTATTCTTAATATAAATGGAAATCTCGAATGTAAATATTAACCTAAATATACAATTACTAAAACATAATAAGGCAATGTTTCCAATCTGTGTCCGTTCTAACTAGAGACTTAGACATTACGAAACTTGAGACCTAGGTCCAAATTACAACTGCGTCCTTTGTCGACTAGAATGTCGGCCTAGAATCCGGATTAGGTAACGTTTACAATCAAACTTATACGAAATGTATAGTATTCATTGTCTAATAAGCTGGTTCGATCCCTACCGGATTTACTTTGTCTGTAATCACTTAATATTTTCTGAAACATTCTGGGGTGCTAGGAATCGAAATTTCTGTCCACCCTTTACAGATTAAAAGTCGTAAATTGTAGTCGTGTTTCAAATTCAGTCTGTGGATTACCGAATCTCCGAAGCCAGAATCGCCATCTTCAATGTTGAGATGCGATATGGCTAGGATATTTTACCGTCCATCAGTTAATCCCAAGTTTATTTGTCCTCCTCTATTATAAAAAAAAAAACTACTATAAAATGTAATACACATTAAAATATTAGTTTTGGCAACTTTTGTTTTATTATTTTATTGTTTTGGACGAGCACGACACAGTCTAACTAACTAATTGCGTGTAGATAATTTATAATGTATTATATATGAAGCTGAAGACTTTGTTTGAACGCGCTTATCTCCGGAACTACTGTTTCGAATTTAAAAATGTACCGCGCTGTCTAATAGGGACAAAGAAACGGCGGGAAATATGGAAAAACAGGTATTATTGTGATGCGTACGCTGTGAAAACAATTTAAGATACCCAAAAATACGTATAAAAGCACTACACCACACTATGTCTATCTTTTAAGATTAACTTACATGAACAACGGAAAGCGTCTAACGTAGTGGAAAGATTACATTTATATAAATGAATGGGAGGTCTGCAAAAACAAATTTGGATGCCCAAAATTACTATTCTGCGCTGACGACGTCGCAATCACAGCTAGTTCTTATACATATAATTGCTTCTACCTGTTGATGTTAATTATCTTATCGCTCATCTATTGTTATCATATATAGGTACTATAATCTATACGCTAGACAATACAACTGTCCTATATAATTACGTGTGTCAACGACTCCTTGATCCCAACGGCATCGGCTGAATGAATTAATCTAAGTGGGTTCTTAAACGCCCTTGAACTGCTCTATTCAATTCCATATGGTATTACACTCTGTGGTACACGTAACACTATACGTGACACGATTAATACAAATAGCATTAATGAAAAGCGTTTATAAACAAAAGTAAGTATTGAAACACTTTAACGGTTTAAAACGCGATATATATAAGTTTCACTTATTTGGAAATTATTTTAACCACGGCTGCTGCAAAATTAAGTATGTGTTTGAAACCAGAACCGTTCACTAGGAGGGATATTTATATATACCTTTATTTGTTATACATATTAGAACTGTGCCCTGCTTAACCAAAACACATTTTAGCAAAATCCCACGATCTCCAGCACGTAACGTTATGCAAGGTGTCATGTATGGGGCATAACGGCGACCATTTTATGTCAATCAAAGCTATTCGAGTGTTTTCAAATCAAAAGACTATTTTTACGATAAGGGAGGACAGATAAGCATGGAGTTTACTTGAAAGTAGGCATATGAAATGGCCACTCTGCCTCTTGCAGCTTCATATCTAAACAAGATGCGCGGTCGACCTATTTTGGCATTGGATATCCGCTACTATCAGGCTTTTGTAATACATTTTTTTAAATCACTATTTAAACACGACGCTAAAATAAATGTTATTGCTTCAAATATCTAGATAACACATACATATACAACTAAGGGACAAGTCAATTAGAACTGTTTGGAATCGCGCGCATAGCGCACTAATAATTTCCCGTCGAACCAAAAACCCTAATCGATGTTGGGACAAGGTCCTAAATGGCCGAGTGGACGTCGCTTGACTATATTTGGCCCGATCGATCGAGGTTATTCCACATAGCTTCCGATCCGTACTGCAACCGGTCCATTGATAAACCAATGCCACCCTGTGACTTATATACAATACACCACTCAACACAAATGTATAACTACATTTTAAAAAACATTATCCAAAAAAACAAAACCTTCTAGAAAAGACATCTAAACACTCTAAGACTCCGAAATACGAACAAAAAAAAATTGAAAATCAACGACATTATGAGTTGATTTTCAATTGTTTCCAACTTTCCCAACACATTGATATGAAAATCGCACTACAACAAAAGTGACAACCATATATGTACTTAAATCCTTAATAAGCGAAACGTCTAACAAAGCTAATACTTCACAGAATAAATAACCGATATTTATCAAATGTGCGCGCGTCGTATGCGCGTCGTATTCGCAACTGACGGTGCGCGGGCGCCGATGTCTTTCACTTCGTAACATTAATTGTCGTCTATGTAACGCTGTGTCCTTAGCATTTGACAACGCATAAAGCTGTTTTCAGACAATGCTATAATATAATTGTGTTTTTAAATGTATTTACTTCGTATGATTAATAAGCCGCCAACGCAACATATTTTTTTATAAGATATAGATTGGCATTTGACCGTGATCCCGCTGGATGGAATGGTGAAGCGATCTGGGGGGGGGACGAAAGGGGGGTCACATTTTTCACATGTTGACACTACATAAATTAAAAAACGAAAATAATAAAAAATCGGCAGACTCAGGCAGGACTTGAGCCGCCATCGTCCACATTCCGTGCTGTTGCTTTAACCAATTGAGCAACTTTCCAAGAGACGAAACCCAGCTGACCGTTAAAATGTTTAATTAGAGGTTAAAGTTATTTTCTTATTATAATTTCAATTCATAATACAAACATTAATAACCGCATATACCTTTGGCGTAGGCGGCTATATACACAAACAGAACGATTAAGGTTTTTGGAATGTTCGAATGTAGTATAAACACAAATTATATATCAATTAGTCCACTTCAATACTATCTACTATTATTAGGTTAATTATATAATAAATAATCTTGAAATAGACACATAAACGCTAGTTAATTCATTGAATTAAAACGTATGTCTTGATCATGCGCACCTGATTAGACGCGTGCGTTCTTTACGGAAACCAAATATAGGAAGTGAAATGTAAAATTATTTGTTAATACATGCTACATTTTCAATCTTTTATAGATTTAATTTCGTACTGGAAAAATGGCTCCTCCCAAATGTATACCAAGTTGCTGACCGTAAACGTTTTTTAAATAAAACACATTAACTTTTTAAGGACGCGATATGCATTAGTTAAACTTATTTGAAAATTAGGGGAGAGGGTTCGGTGAGACTAAATCTCCCCGTGAACCGGCTCCAAAGCATCCGAAACGTCGGCCCGTAGTTAAAATTTTTTTTTAAATAAGTTTAACTAATATAAATCGCGTTTTAAGCCGTTAACGTGTTTTATTTAAATGTGTGCTACTCGCGTAACTATAGACCGTAAACGTTTTACTATATAACTTCCACCTCATTAAGCGTGTTTAAGGGATGTACTATGAGTGAAAAAGACAAAAATAGATAGAAACCTATTCTCACACCTTACGAATGTTAGTACAAAATTTTACTAAAATCGGTTCGGGAGTTTTAGAGTAATTCGCGCATAAACACTGTGACACGAGAATTACTATATATCGGATGGTTTGTTAACTTGTATGAAATGTCTGTAAATAATTAAACGTAATTACTCATCGATGTTGATGCAAAAACATCAATTTATCACTCCATGAAAAACCGCGTTCGTTTTTAATTCGCAAGTATTTATCATACGCGTAATAATCAATTTGCCAATCGTACAAAGCGATGCACCGGCCGACAATCAATCATGCAACATCGAAACGCAACAATAAAATATTTCACGAGATATGCGGTAAAAGAAGTTTTTTATTTATTACTTACATGGCAACACACGATTAATGCAATACCTGGAATTGTTTTCTTTGAATTTTTCATCGATGACAGTTATCGTAACTGAGCTGCGGCGAAAATTTATATTATAATAGAAATGTATTTATTTTATATACCCTTCAGAGGATTTTGGCAGCGTTTCCGTTGGTCCTGTTATACGTCTGTTGTTTAAGGCGAGCAGAATTTTTTTTTTATAAACTGAAGACGGTTTCGATGTCTTGGATCGTTAAGATTACGATATCTAATATATTGACTGTTTCAAACCGTTAAAAGTGTTATATTACATTTTGGAATGATTATTGATACCCAAACATTAATTGACACTATGCAACGATCAGCGGATATCCTTCAAACTGTAAATTATATTATAACCTTATAAATGAACTGATATATATGACTGATAATTTTTATTATTAGGTATAATCCAAATATTTTTATTTCGCCATCCAATCCAGACATAATTATTTCAAGAAAAAATAACTTTAAAAACAGTAGCGTGCTTCCGTAAGTCCTAAAATGTGCATAATATTGACAAAAACAGCAATAGTACGAGCCAACAACACATTGCCCATATACAGCGAAGACCGTATGTGGTAGTGTTATGAAGAGTCAATAATTTACATGCAATTTCATGACATGACCATATCTGCATCACTCTTGACCTGCTTACTTACTGTATTGAATACAATATGAGGTCTTATTAATTAGGAAGCTTGCTTCATGTGACAAAAAGCGTAGGTTACTCGAAAAATATTGTTTCTCTATTGGTGACATCGAATATCCATATTTTCCGATAACTATCTCACGCAGGGATGCACAGACTTATTAAAACTAGGGGCCAGATGTATGGGCAATTAAAGACAATAAAGATTTGAAAGAGAAGTATTATTAATTTTTGTATTATTTTTAATTTAGGGGGGGCCACCAGTACTCGAGGGGCGAGCCGCGCTCTGTGCATCTCTAATCTAACCCATTCTACATTTCCACTTCCCATCAAACTCTCACTGTATTCCCTTCATGATTATAATTGATTTAATTTTTGAAACACAAACAGAACTAATAATACAATTAAGAAATTTAATAAATCTTTATGAAGAGTTAAAAATGGCTTTTTGTCAATCAAACGTTTTTTTGTTTTGTTGACAGTCATTTATTGTTTTGTTGTATAGGGATTAATATCGTTATAATGATGTAACTCTAATAAAAATTGGTAATTGATTTCAAACAAATCTTATGACCACGGTGAATTTTTTTAAAGGGTTCTTACAAATTACTTAAAAGATAGACATATATGCCGTATTTTTTATTAAGAGAGTGTTCATACAAACATTTTGGCTTCTTACATAATATTTTGGTCACAGTGTGACGTTATATGCTACATATACTTAGAGACTTTCAGTAAATAGTTCATCCAACAAAAAAAAAAATTTTTCCAATTTGTGCAAGTAGTTCCTAAGATCCTTCAAACAAAATTTTCAGCTTTATAATACTAGTATGGGTTATTTAACTAAATTTCAAATCAATAGCCAAACTTACATTGTGAAAAATGTTTCTATATGTATATCATAAATTTATATATAAAATATATTTAATATTTATATTACTTTTATAGAGTTTCACAGCAATTTATTTTAAAAATGTATATACTCATTTTGACTACAAATTTAGGTAAAAATATTCTTTTTAGGGAATAATTCTACATTGTTCTAATTAAAAACAACTTTGCTAACCTGCGCAAAATGAGAGATTAAATAGGCTTAAAAGCTTACAGCTTGCTGTAGAGTATAGCTCTGGTCTTGGATTAATTAAACCCAGTAGTATTTTAGGTTAAGTAAAATACCTTTATTTCATCTTGATTTAATTTACCTAATATAGTAAAAAAGAGATCATTTATTTATATCTAATTTTTATAAAGAGGGGAACAGACAAGGTGTCCTTGATGAAACATGAAGTACACCACCACATAGACAGCGCATGTCAACAACATGGGCATGTCGACTATTATGGCTTTGAAAATTTGAAAATCAACAAACTTCACTTTTCATAATGCAGTGGGGTCCGTGATCCAGACGAATTTCGGTGTCCTACCAACATTTGAAACCATCTAGATAAAGTCCAAAGCCCACGATGTTTATAAAACATACATTTGTTATGATGAGACAAGCGAGCCCCACATTTGCATGAGTGTAAAGAAATAACCATATAAAATTATATGTATACTTTAAGCGTTTTTATTGCAATGTTCTTAAGACTTTAATAGATACTCACAGAGTCAGAGCTTCCGTCCTCAGCCAGTAAATCTTCAAACAAAACATCAGCTTCACATGGAGCACATAAACTAGTAAACAGTTCACTAAATTTTTCCACTTTACGAATACACACAGCTCCTAAAAGCCCCACTTCATTCACTTTTGGCACATCACCATCTCTAACATGTAATTGTTTATGTTTTATATATTCTTCGTCTACAAAAGGAATGTTATTTTCATTATTAAAGTAATTGAGCTCGGATTTTTTATGACATATAATTTCGTTTACGTCGGCGTGAACATTCGACTCCTCAACGAGGTCTCTGTATAACTCTTCAAATTGATCCTTATCTAAGCTGTTTGAGACATTTTTATCACCAAGTATAATATTGAAAACCTCGTCGGCATTACTGTCATCGTTTTCTACCCGTACTACGTTTTCAGCCTCTAAGGTTTTCTTCTTCGTTGTATCTAATTTAGAATTATTTTTTACGTCAACATTTTTCTTTTTAGAACTACTAAGTAATAAATTGCTTTTGTCTTTATCTATACTATTTTTAATGGAATGTTTTGTTCTAATAGCACCAATTTCTTTACATGAAGTGGGTGATATAGTCTTTAAATTTTCTTTTTCGCGACTTTGTCTTCTATGACTTAACGGTCGTGTTTTATCCTTGATAGGTTTGGTTTTATCATCCTCTAATAGTGACTGAACGGAGGAACTTCTGTTAGCCTTTTTAGGTGAAGAGTTGCTGTCTGAATGGCTAGCGGCGGCTCTTAAACGTGATGTTCGAGTGGTCCTGATGGGCACTGAAGTTGTAGCGGTAGTTAAATTCAACTCGGAGGAAGACTTTAGATGAGCGGCACCATTTTCTATGGATGTACGAGGCACTGCTTTTCTGGGACGCCTGAAATTTTAAAGAAGAGTGATTATTTTTTCAAATATAGTTATTAATTTATATATATCGTATAGTACAAAGAATGTGTGCTCTCATAGGAGGCCTAACTCCTAGCAAAAAATGTTAAAATTACAAAGTCTAAATTATTTTATGTTTTAATGTGTTATTTTTTTACCTTTCAGTAACATTGGCAGAGAACAAAGTCGCTGTTCTAGCTGTTAGCTGTTTCCTTCGTTCCTCCTTGTACTTCTGTATCCTCGCCGCCTTGGCTTCGTCGGGTGATTGGTTCATTGTGTCTTCCCGGTGTCACGTGCGCCAACTCTCGAATACTTTCCCTTGGGCGTTCTTCAGACCGTCGTGGATTAAAACTAGCATGGCGACATTAAGCACGCAATAGGGCGGAATAATTGGCAGTGACGATTACTGGAGGTAGAATAAGGCGCGTGCAATATCTGGAACGAAACAAATACACTATTATTTTCCTTTTTAAGACGAGTTATATATACTAAATATTGAAAGAACTATTAAATACAACGATTGAAGAGGCCTTCGCACACGCGATAACTTAGTAAAAAGTATGAGAGTTAACGACGATTATCAATTTTCTTACGAACTAACTAATATTAATATTCAAGAGTTAAAAGCGTTGTATTATTAATAAATTACTACACAGACAAAATTACTTCGAGTAAAAATATTTCAATCTAATTCGGACAATCCGTATAGTAGTAGCTCCAATTCCCAAGATCAACAGAGGCAGCTCAGTTGCCTCTCGACAGAGTTAACATTGCGGTAGACCGCATAACTCAATTCTAGTGACAGACGCGAAATTGTATGCCATAAACGCGTTATACGTGAGCAATAGGAAACATAAGGTCGACAAATCGCTAAAACAATACTGTTTGAATAATGTCAGAATGGTTTGCTTTAAGAGGCATCGCTTTTGTTCCATTGTTTTCGTAGAAATACACGAGAATAATGATCCGATAATTCTGTGCAATATATAACTTCATCATTGAATACAATTATGACACAATTCTTTTGATCAACCGTTCGTTTGTGAAGAAGTATAATTAAAAAGACTTCACTCACACAGTGAAATAAACTATTCTAACGGGTGAAAAAGATAACATGCTATGTTGTTCTACGAGATAAATAACATTAAATACTGTCTATAGTTTACGCGAGTAATACACATTTAAATGAAACGATTTAACGGTTTAAAACGCGATATTTTAGGTAAACTTATTTTAAAATGATTTTTAACTTCGGCCCGACGTTTCGGATGCTTTGCAGCACCTGTGGTCACGGGGGAAATAGTACATAGATCTAAGGAATTCTTCTATGACCTCTTGTATAATACAGATTAAATTAAGCGAGTGAAATTCCAAAGAAACAATCATAATTTCAGTCTTATTACTTGTCTTTAAAGCGATTAACAAAACACATATATGAAATATCAAGGAATATAAATAGCCTGGAAGAGATCGGTTTTTGGGATAGGATTGCCCATCGCAAACCGATCTAGTGTTAAAAGTCCCCTATGTATTATTATTACATCTATAGTAAATTAAGTGCTAATATATAAAATAGTACTGATCAATAAGACAGTAAATAAATTATGTTCTTTAAGAAGATATTTTGTTAACATATGAACACAATATTCTGCATTCCATGATCTGGCACCTGCAGCACCAGGTCATTAAAATCGATGAAACATCAGGCTATCGTAAACATACTGAGTAATTAACAAATAGATATCCTTTTCAATGTTTACATTCATAATTGTAATTTACTTTATTGAGCCAAGCCAAGGTGCTCCACCGCTATACGACATAATTGGTAGATAACCGGGCCTGATAGCTTAACAATCCGGGGAATATTACAACTTATATTTTTAATCTCCAGGCTAATCACTCTACATACCAAAGTAACATTGAGATCAGACTAGGATTAACCCGGAAGAACCTAATCTGCAGTTGTATGTATGATCTACTAGAACAACGAGGACGTAAAACACATTTTTTTTATTTATAATAGAGAAGGCCAGAAAAACATGGGCTCACTGAAACCGAAATGCGATAATACATCACAGCTGTTTCATCTGAAAACAGTGGTTCGTGACCTGGACAAAATTTCGATATTTCTACCAGCCTCAGTACTTAGTACGTTATCTTAAATGAATTCTTGCACGTGCAGTATTCAGTTGAGCTATCAACACTGCACTTAAGAAAATAAAATCATTTCCGTGGCATTCCGACTTATTTTTGTGATAACCCGAGATAGCTCTAGTCTAAGCTGATAAATCTCTACTATTAATATCAATATGTGAGTTTGTTTCGCTAAACGTATTTATAGCAAAACCGCCAACCCGAATTAGATGGGAACATAAAAGGTACCTCTTAAGTTTCCGTCACCGGAGTATAACAAAACGCTAAATATTTTAACTTATCTGTAACTACGACTCGATGTTTGTTTCGGAAGAACCGTGGTCACGGGATGACAAACACGGGACTTGGTTATTGTACAGTTCGCGTAATAAACCGTTAAAAGTGTATTTAAATAAGTATTCATCGCGTAATTACACTATATAAATTAAAATCGATTATAGCCACAGACAGTATTTTATCGTTTATAAATTGAAAAAAAAAATACGACTCGGCAGGATTTGGGCTCTGTAGCTCAATAGGTGGCTGTGGGTGCCGGTTCAAGTTTTGCCCGGGTCGTATTACTTTTCAGTTTATGATCGATTTTTAATGAATACTTAAGTTAAGTTATTATATTAGATGTAGCATGAGTAACGCCGCGATGTCTGTGCATTTAGATCCAATTTAATATAATGCAGTTAAATATAAAATATATTACAAATACTAGATCACTAGATGCGTGTTAGTTCTTACGTTCGTCACGTACAATTCTCACAACCCAATTCACACATCTCAGCGATTACATAGATAAGAAATTCTATCAACCAGCGATGCAGCGCTAAATAAAAACTGTGATGTGTTATGTTGAAACATTTATTATCTGTGGCGCTGTACGAAACAAAGAGATCCGCATAGAGAATATTCATGTAACGTGAATATATTAAACAATCAGGCGAAATAAATAGCGCGGAAAATGGTGTGTACTTCATTAATCACCTATACTAACATATAAAGCTGAAGAGTTTGTTTATTTGTTTGAACGCGCTAATCTCAAGAACTACTGGTGAAAATTGAAAAAAAATATTTTTTGTATTGGTTAGAGCATTTATCGAGGAGGAGGCTATAAAACACTCGCGCGAAAATACAACGGGAAATTAGGAGAAAACAGAAAAAAAGTTTCCGTTGCGTACACAGCGAAAATGGTTCAAAATACCCAAATAATATGTACCCAAAAAATGATTCCTTAAAAGATCTAAAAAAATGTCCTACTAACTAAGCTGTTGCCCACGACGTCGCTCGCGATTTATAAAGAGGAGTTTTGCAAAAACAAATTTTGATGCCTAAAATAACTATTTTACGCGAACGAAGTCGCTGAGAAAGCTAGTTATTTATGTGAACAAAAATCACAAGAGTTCCGATCTTATATCAGCGAGTAAGATTGGTTTATTATGACGCACACCTTGAAAATATATTCATCTACATAAAATACTCATTTTTATTACCCCAATCACCAAAAAAGGTCAATAATGACGCGTCGGTAGGAACAATTATATGTGGGAAACTGACATCGTGGTTTTGTTTCTTGGCAGATCTATTTCTGGTTTCAGTAAACATGTGAGACATATTATCATTTAGATCTTGTGGACAGTGTAAATCGACGCCTAAAGGCTTTTTATTAGAATGTGTGCCTGGAGCCCAACCCAACGATTAAAATGTCTAAAAAAAAACAAACAAAAAACACTTTAACGGTTTAAAACGCGATATATTAGTTAAACTTATTTGAAAATGATTTTTAACTTCGGCTCGACGTTTCGGATGCTTTGCAGCAGCCGTGGTCACGGGGAGACTGTAAGAATACCAATAAGTTTAACTAATATATCGCGTTTTAAACCGTTAAAGTGTTTTATTTAAATGTGTACTACTCGCGTAAACTATAGACAGTATTTGATTAAAATGTCTTTAAAAATATTTGGCAGTAATACTAATCGTATTACTTCACATGAATATTAACTGTAGCAATGTATGCTTATAATATTTATATAATAATAATAATTTATACAATATTTTTAAATAAATTTATATATTTGTTGAAAATCTGGATATCAAATGGGTGGTATTAATATGAAATTCTCTTTTGGGTCACGAACCGTTTACAGATGAAAAAGCCGTGAAGTTTTATCGCGTTTCGGTTTCAGCCTGTGGATTTCCGAATATCCAAAGTCAAAATAGGCCTACAACGTATATAGATTAGATGTTATATGACTAGGATATTCTACCTTCCATAAGTGAAGCCCATGGCTGTCTGTCTTATCACATCATGAAAGAAGAAACGTATTTTAATTAGCGGTTTAATATCAAAGTATTATACAAGGTTAAAATGACAACACGCTGTGTCCACGTGACTGACTGGGGGTGATAATTCCGTTTATAAATGTTTACCGAGTTCCAAGCGTAAACACTAACCACTGACACCTTTTCTTTCATGTTGAGATCAATAGCTTATAAATTAATCGCAGGACCCACTTAATGTGATATTTTAGATACATATTACAATAGTTGAAAATCAAATTTCTGATTGAAAATTTTTAGGACACGGGCAGAACTTGAACCGGCATCCACAGCGTTCTGTGCTGTTCCTCTAGCGTCTAACCATTTGAGCGACAGCTCGTCCTACGCGTCATCGTCGTTCTTGTTATTTTTTTTCTTTCACTTTTTTTATAAATGTTAATTATTTAAGCTTATATTTAAGTTATTTATTGTGGCTTGTGAAATAAATGGATTTTTGAGAATTTGAATTTGTGCCTAAAATATTTAAAATAACTAAAAAATATTACAATTATCAATACTAATATTATAAAGCTACAGTGTGTATTCATTAAAACATCCTAATCACAGAAATTACAGTTCGAATTAAAAAAAACTCGCTGCGACAAATATGACATAAACAGAGGAAAATGTGGAAAATATTATTCTTGTTCGAGGGCTTCCGTATCTTGGTCGGAACAAGATAACAAAATATATATATATGAAAAAAGGATTCCTTTTTAAATTATTTAAAAAAACAGTACATCTCTATCTTTTAAGATTAACTCGCAAAACAGTATTTACAGTAATAAAATTTCTTCGAAATGAAATTATTTTTTG